ACGCAAGAGCCAAGTAAAGGTATTAGGGTTTAGGGAATTCGCGTCGTCCGCCTCGGCCCGGCCGCAAACAAAGAGGGCCAACGAACTGCTGGTGCTGAAGGCGCCATTGGCGGAGCGGATGAGGGGAAGGGGATGTGATTGCGTTCGGCGGCGCATCAACAGAAGCAAGGCAGGCGGACGGGTCAAGGGGGTGGAGGGGGAGCGGATGGGGGTGGGGTGCGCGGGGTGGAGACTCCCTACGGAGAGCCCAAATGCATTGGAGGAGGCGAGATTTCACCACAACCCTGGGGCTCATTTTCCGGTTCACCCAAAGGGAACCCCCCCCCCCTAGATGACCCTTTCGAGGGGCCAGGGAAGGATTAGAGGTGGGGTCTAGAGGAAGGGATCTTTAAGGATTTTTGGGTTTATGGTTTGGGGTCTACTTGGAGCTTCATGGGACTTTTTGAGTAAAGGTACAAGGACCTTAATTGGGCTTATAAGAAGCAAAAGTATAGTTGTCTCATTCATAATCCCAGCCAGCAAGTCCCATGATCCCTTAAGTCGAGAACATACCTTTCTAGGGTTCCTTATTTTGACTTCAAAGGGCTTCCTTGTACAGGTCCTTCAGGAAGGTAGATTATTTAAATGGGTCACGGGACTTAGTAATAGGGTTTTCCATAAGGTAACTATACTCAGAATGACTTATAACTTATAACCTCAATTGAAGTCCTTATGACCTTACTTACTACGTCCCATGATCCCGGAGTAAACCCTAAATCCTAAGCCCTAAACCCTAAACCCTCAGCCCTCAGCCCTCAGCCCTAAACCCTAAACCCTAAACCCTAAACCCTAAGGCAGGGCTAGGGGGGGTTCGGGGCTTTCGGGTTTGGGCAGGGTTTTCAGTTTAGGCTTTTATGGGAGCCCGAGGGTTCTTGCACTTTTGTTTTCCGACGGGGTCCTTTAAAAGGGGTTTAGGGTTTAGGGTTTAGGGTTTAGGGTTTAGGGTGTAGGGTTTAGGGTCTTTTAAAAGGGTTCTAGATGGGTACTATGACTTTACGGCTCTTGGGGGCTCTTGTTATTATTCTTATCTATTGTAAAATTACATATTATACTTGTAAGTATTTGAATACAAATTATTTTTGTTACTCTTATCATATATATATATATATATTGGTGTTTTGTTTTGGGTGTTATGTTCTCCTTTGTAGAAGAACTATGAGTTGTTGCGTACCTTCTGAGGCGGGGGAGTGGAAGTCCCAAGAGGGACCTATTGGTGTTGGATTAGGCCTGGGGGTTTTTACAAAAGGGGTTTAGGGTTTAGGGGTTTAGGGGTTTAGGGTTTAGGGTTTAGGGTTTAGGGTTTAGGGTTTAGGGTTTAGGGTTTAGGGTTTAGGGTAAAAGGAGGTTTTTGAGGCTGTGGGCTTCAGTCAATGTAAGTGGTTGAAATGGCTTTCATAATATTGATAGGAACAGGCCTTTATCGGGGGTACTGTATGGTATACGCTGACGTAAACACACAAAAAGGGGGTCAACTATGGCTGGCAATCATTCATCCTAAACCCTAGACCCTAAACCCTAAACCCATCTTGGTGCTTGGGGTTGTAGGGCTTGCTGGTTTGCCGGTTCCAATGTTTCAGATTGAGGGGGTGCAGCAGGAATCAATGAGCTGCAGCAACCTCCAAATTACTCTCCTAAACTCTGCCCCCGGTGAGTCTCCTAGGACTAAGGCTAAGCGCTGAACCACACATGGCACCCAAACCCGATGAGGCTTTAGTGAAAGCTCAGAAAAGGCATCTGTTGTGATTCACAGGTCTGCATAACTAGCACGGTAGCTTCATGATCCCTATGACTATATCGCTGTCATATCGAGATGACAATATAGAATGTCCACAATCCCATCCTTACTGTTACCCTAAACCCTAAACCCTAAACCCTAAACCCTAAACCCTAAACCCTAAACCCTAAACAAATAATAAAGCCTCATAACACCTTACTCTCAGATGAAGGCCTGGACATTCGACCCTTTAAGGTTTAGGGTTTAGGGATTTAGGGGTTTAGGGGGTTTTAGGGGGGTTTTAGGGGGTTTTAGGGGGTTTTAGGGGTTTAGGGTTTAGGGGGTTTTAGGGGGTTTAGGGTTTAGGTTTTGCTCCTCATGCCCCATTTGCTGACAGTGCACAGTCTGCGCTTGCTGAAGCCGTGTAAGCACTGACGGAAGACCAACATCCTTGTAGGAGTGCTGTGACGATAACAGTACTAATCACAAACACTCGCAAGAATAGTCGTAACAGTAAGAACATTCATAGCAATGATAATGATACGGTTTAGTTTTTTATGGAATGGGGTTCCCAGTCGTTGTCAGTGAGGCTGTTCCCAAGGTCCCTTTGACGGACGATTTGGTATAGAATTTCAAAGCAGATCCCAGGCAAACGGCGAATTTACTTTGTGGCTGTTTGGGGTTTAGGGAGGGTTTGGGGTTTTAGGGGTTTCGGGTTTCGGGTTTTGGATGACTCCATGACTATTTCATTTGGGGTCAAGTGCAGCTACCCGATCATCATAAGCTCGATTCCTGCGTCCCCGGAAGCGGACAACTCAAATTTCGAGTGGTCTTGTAGTCTCAAGCCTTGATCTTTTTACCCGCCGAAACTCGAATCCTGAAGAATTAGCAATACTATGTCTTAGGGCTCCATGTTGCAAGAACATGCAAGAACAATATCCCCCCAAGTCCTGTTGAACTTGTTATGGACTCTAAATAGCTTCGATCACTCCAGTGATCGCGTGGCATGTCCACGAGCCAGCGCCGATGACCGGCGAGCTGACCATCATGCCCCCGGTTAAGCCCTGAACCAAAGAACGCTCCACCTAAAGACCGTTCTGGAGTTCTTATTTTAGTCTCGTCGTGTCCAGGGCATCAACGCGAAGACTCATGCACTTGAGTCGGAGCAGCGCAAAGCGCTGCAGGTGCAGCTGCAACTGGGTTTGAGTTACGGGTTGCGGGTTCTTTTGCAAGGAACTTAGTTTAAGTTAACATAACGGGGTTCTTTGGCATGTAAAGTGGTTTCCTTCTTATGGCAACGTGCATTCAGCTCCCGAACAAGAGTCTAGGATTTGTAGAGTTTGTTGAATCGGTCTTGTAACCTTGTTGAGTTTTTGTTCCGAGGAGCTTTATACGGATCTTTTTCAATGCCATGCTTTGAGGTTTCAAACCCTAAACCCTCAACCTAAACACCAAGCCCGAAACCTAACCCTAACCCTAAACTCCAAACTCTAAACCCTAAGCCCTAAACTCTAGACCCTTAAACGCTAAACCCTAAACTCTAGACCCTAAACTCTAAACTCTAAACCTTAAACCCTAAACCCTAAACTTTGAGGCCTAAGGGTTTAGGGGTTTCAGGTTCAAGGCCCAAGGCTTAGGGTCTCAGGGTCAGCAAGTTGCTAGACTTCCTAGCGACTGTTGCCGCGGCTGCCTTGCTACTAGTGTTAGTTTGCTACCCTAAACCGTAAACCCTAAACCCTTAACCCTAAACCCTATGCAAACGCCACACCGAAGGGGTCTAGAACTTCAGGTGCAGGGTTTAGGGTTTAGGGTTTAGGGCCATTGGGTTTAGGGTTTTCGGGTTTAGGGTCTGATCCTGTCCACACACGTGGAAGGGAATGTCTGTCGTGCTCATTTCCAGATTTGCTGGACCCTTACTCATTGCGCCGGTTTGTCAAGTCATACTACCAATACTACCCAAGATGGACAACCCTAAACCCTCAACCCTAAACCCCAAACCGCAAACCCCAAACCCTAAACCCTAAACCCTAGACCTTAGACCCTAGACCCTAGACCCTGAACCTTAAACCCCAAACGCTAAACCCTAAACCAGCTTGCGCAGAGACATCCGTCACAAGGAATCCGAGATTGCAAAGCTCACCACAGAGAACAAAGAGTTGGAGCGGCAAAACAGAGTACTGAGACAGCGTCTCGAGGACGGCTTCCGAACATGTGGTCCTTTCGCTCCATAAAATCTACCGGTCATTGTCACGTTCTGACATGTGCCGCCTGTGCTGGGCGAGGAGAGCAAGAACGCGCAGCTCCAGCTTGAAGTGGCCAGCTTGAATAAATTAAGCGGCCGACCCAGCTTCGCCTCCTAAGCCCTAACCCCCTGATACCTTGCAGGCCTTACATTCTCAACCGGCCTATATCCTAAATCGGTGCCATCCAGAGGTCTGCCCGGAAATGCTAATCCCTTATGGGCCCAATAGAAGCATACTCGAGTACTTCTTTGGGTGCCTAAGCCCGTAAACGAAGTGAGGCCCTTAATCCAAATCCCTAAACCCTATAAACCCTAAGCCCTAAACCCTAAACCCTATAAGTCCCTAAACCCTATAAACCCTAAACCCTAAGCCCTAAACCCTAAACCCTATAAGCCCTACAAACCCTAAGCCCTAAACCCTAAACCCTAAACCCTAACCCTTATCACCCCTAGGAGCAAACCCTAGGGAGCCGAACATCATTGAAGTTCCGCAGGCGGCGGTGGAAAAAGGGCGCTCGCGACCGACCTCCGCGCCCGTGCGCCCGAACAGGCAGGAGACTCGAAAGAATAGGGACCCCCATAAGCATTCTATAGGGATATCCCTACCTGATTGGGATTCACTATACAGGGATTTATATGGGATATTACCCTAAACCCTAAACCCTAAACCCTAAACCCTAAACCCTAAACCCTATCCTTATTTTTGCTTTTGTGCCTTGTTGGGGACCCTAGGAAACCCGAGCCCCGACCCCCTTTCTAGAAGGCTCCGGGCTTAATGTAGGGGCCTTAACAATTCGGGTTTAGTTTTTTGGGATGGGCTATCAGGGGTTTAGGGTTTAGGGTTTAGGGTTTAGGGTTTAGGGTTTGGGGTATATTATACTATAAGTATAAGAAGGAGCCCCCAAAGCCATATTCTAACTATTATATTAGGCCCCTGCATTAAAGTTTAGGGTTTAGGGTCTAGTCTAGGGTTTGAGGCCTTGTATAAGGATCCCTGAATACTTGCAGGATCTGGGGTTCCCCCTGTAAGGAAGCCTTCCTGGAGCTCAGACACGCAGCAAGGCTTCCTTACCAGGAGTTCTATAAGGGCTCTACAGGGATTTAGGGCTTAGGGCTTATAGGGTCTCCGGTTTAGGGTTTAGGGTTTAGGGTTTAGGATCATGGAATTTAGCAAGTATATGAGGCTACAAGTACTTTAGTTTTGGCTATATCTAGTTGGAAGTGTAGTTACCTTGTTTATAACCCGAGTTACTAAGTCTAAAGGGTCCTTGGAGTATAAAGCCTTACAGCCCACAATAAACCTAAAAGAACCCACGAAAGGGTTTAGGGTGTAGGGTTAAAAGCTTAACCCTAAACCCTAAACCCTAAACCCTAAACCCTAAACCCTAAACCCTAAACCGTGAGGCCCTGAACCCCGCCCCCAACCCCTCCACACGCGGAAACCCTAAACCCTACGCCGATGCTCAACCTCAAACCTCCAAACCGCAAACCCAGAGAACCCAATACCCCTAAATTCAGGAATCTACCTTAAATCATAATATTCAGGACCCTATAATTTAAGGTATATTCCTTAATTAAAGGGTAATGGGTTCTCTGGGAACGGCCCTAAACCCTTGAATTGAGGAACCTATTGCACTTCTTGATTATTGGTGTCATTCTTCCAATGGTTGCATTTTTTCTTGCTCACTAAACCCTAAACCCCTAAACCACTAAATCCCTAAACCCCTAAACCCTTAAACCCTCAAGCCCTAAACCCCTAACCCCTAAACCCTTAAACCCTAAACCCCTAGCCCCTGAACCCCAAACCCCTAGACCCCCTAAGCCCTAAGCCCCTAGACCCTAAACCCCTAAACCCCTAAACCCCTAAACCCTATACCCTAAACTCTAAACCCACAACCCCTGGACCCTAGAAGGTTGTCTTTTTCTTTTTGTTTGCCCCCCAAGCAAGGCTCTCCCCGAACCAGCAGGCGATGCTCCAGGAACTGCGGGGGTTCGTTGGAGCGATGGTTTAGGCTTCAGGGTCTAGGGTTTAGGGTTAAGGGTTTAGGGATCCTGTGAGGGTTTAGGGGTTTCAGGGTTCAGGGGTTCAGGGTTTAGGGTTTAGGGATCCTGTGAGGGTTTAGGGGTTTCAGGGTTCAGGGGCTTAGGGTTAAGGGTTTAGGGATCCTGTCAGGGTTCAGGTTTTAGGGCTTGGGGTTTAGGGTTAAGGGTTTGGGGATCCTGTCAGGGTTCAGGCGTTTCAGGGTTTAGGGTTTAGGGTTTAGGGTTTAGGGACCCTGTCAGGGTTTAGGGGTTTCAGGGTTCAGGGTTCAGGGTTTAGGGATCCTGTCATGGTTTGGGGGTTTTAGGGTTCAGGGATTAGGCTTCAAGTGTTTTTAATGGCCTGTTTGCTACAAGGGTCTGGTTTCCTTTGTTTTCTCACCACCTTGCTTGGGTGAATGATGGCTTTGCTTTCGTTTGTTTGTTGTAGGTATCTTTTCTTTTTTTTGGTGCTTACTAAGGGACTTCTGCCTCAGTTTTACAAGGCTCTTGTAGAGGTTCTACAAAGGTTTAGGCTTCCGTCACCTGGAGGTTCATGGGACTCAGTACATAATGTTTTTGGTACTTCCAACAGGCTGATACGTACTACAGTAGTTACTAAGCCCCATGATCTCTTAAGTCAGGGTTCCTTCAAGTTCAATCGAACCCTAAACCCTAAACCCTAAACCCTGAACCCTAAACCCTAAACCCTGAACCCTAAACCCTGAACCCTAAACCCTTTTAGGGCCGGCAGAGTCTGTTCTCCCGAGGTCATCGGGTGTTGTCAAGTCTGTTCCGGCTCTAACTGCATTACAACCCTCGTTGTTGTAGCAAACTCGCCACCCGGCACCCCTTACTTAGAGATTGAGGGGACTTAGTAAATCGGCTATAAGTAGGGTTATAATTGGGGTAACTCCATTTAAGGTGCTTATAACTCTATTTATAACCTGCTTACTAAGTCCCCTGGGCCTCTAAGTGTTTGGCTTTGGTCTTGAGCTTTGCTACCAGGCGTTTGCACAGATGTTCCAAAGTCGTTGCCTGTCCCCGGTACCAGGCTTAGACGCTCAGCCCTGGACCCTCAACTCTAAACCCTACGAGGCCTAATCCCCTACACCTCTGAACCCCTAAGCCCCTAAACTGTCGACCCACACCTCAGGCCCTACATGAAGCTTAAATCCCACCGCTTCCCTCGTCCGCCAAGCCCCCACGGACATCTCCAAGCCCCCATGTAAGTCCAAACTCCTTGAACTTGAGTTGGGGTGAACTTGAGAAACATGGCTCTGCATTCTTGTCAAGCAGTTCGATGGTAGTTAGCACAATAAGGAAACTGTACGATGTATTTTAGATCACTGTTATGACAACTTCATCCATGTGCCTTGGCAAGAGCCCTAAAACCCTTCAAACCCTAAGCCCTAAAGCCTAAACCCTGAACCCTAACCCTAAACCCTAAACCCTAAACCCTAAACCCTAAACCCTAAACCCTAAA